CTCTTTTCACCCAGGAACTCAGGGCAGCCGCATGCTGTCGGTCACAGCGCAGTTTAAACAAACCGAGCCGACTCTGTCGTGCGAAACGAGATGCCAACCGCGAAGGAGGCGGGAGAGGCGAAGGACCTCCAAGGCCGCTGTGGGCTTTCCATGCAGCCCCGCCCCTAACCGGAGAGCAACCGGGGCAAGTGACCACACCTTTGCGGGCATCAGCCTCCCGACCCGCGAGCCGAGGACCTGCACAATTAACATGGAGCAAACCTTCAGTGAATCACCAACTTCCTCTTACTTAATCCTCTCGAAACCCTGTGAAGTGGGTATTATCATTCTCATTTTACACATGAGCAAACGGGGTTTGAAAAGCAAAGTAATTTGCTCGAGGCCATTCGACAGGCTCGAAGAATGCCTGGCTGGGAAGTTCAAGGAGTCATGGCCAGACCTATGGTGAGACCAAGCCTTTCTCCCCGGCACTCACATAACCTCCGGCTGCTGCCGACGGCGTTCACACGTGTTTCGCTCATACTGGATGTCGGCGACACACGGCACTTATGATTTGTTACTTTTAAATTTCCTGACTTTACAAAAAAAAATTTGTTTTCATTTGTTTGCATATGTTTGTTTTTAATTTTTGCATCCTGTAACCCTAGCTTATGCCTAAATGTCTTACAATATCCCCCAAACCTTCACATAACCTGATTCCTTAAGGGTCTCTTAAAAAGGCTGAGGCGCCCAGGAAGAAGCTTGCAGCTTCTCGGTGAGTGATGTCGCCTCCCGAACAGGCTGCTACAGCCTTAAGAAGGTCTGTTTCACTGGCCTGCGGCTCCCTCCTCTCGGCTGAGTGGCCGCTGCAGGCTCACCATCCCCCCCACCCCCACCCCAGCCAGCTCAAGGACCACACCGCGAGAGGCAGCTGCGGGGCACACGCGAGGTGAGGCAGTCTGGCCGGGCCGACCCTGGGCAGGGTGGGTAGAGGCCGGCATCTTCACCGTAGCCTCTCCAGTCCTGGGGTGTCGGCTCAGCTGCCTAGTCCTCGGTCACTGGGGGGAGGACGGGGAGGTCATTTTCCGTTTTGATGAAATGACCACGGTCATGCGCCTAGCTCTATGGTCTCCCAAAGTCACCCCCACGTCCTTTAGGGCATCGCGATGACCGATGTACTGCTACCATTTCCACTTCATCCATGAGCAAAGTGCAGACTCGGGACGTTGAAAAAACTCACCCAAGACCAGCCTCGCAGACACGGGCCAAGCCGGAACCTATCGAGGCCCCCGATACAAACCCTGAGCTCCGTCAAGTGACAGAGACGTGGCTCACCGTTCTACGAGCACCACGAAGTTCCCGCACCCCACAGCCGCAGAGCCCGGGCCCACCGCCCCATCTCCGACCTAGCGTGCCTCACTGCGAGAGCTTCTTTCGGCCTCTCTCCCCGCCACTCAAAATCTCTCTCCTTTCTCCGGCCCCGCAGTCCGAGCTCCGTGCGCAGCAATTTATCTATTTATGTATTTTTTATTGTTTATTTTTCGCTCTTTCGTAACCTATGTGACAGCTCTTGCATTATTTTGCTGTTTTCTACCCCTGATCGCTCGTCCCCATCACCTCGTCAGCACTGGATATGGTAAAGCATCGTCCTACCTGTTCCCGTTTAACGCGGGTGCCGCGGGATAAAGGAAGCCGCCCGTCACAGCTGTGTGGGCGGGGCCGGGCGGCGAGGCCACGCGCATCCGTGTGGTGCCGTGGGCACCTCGGTTTTTCATTCCGCCCCACCCCCTCCCCTTTCGCGAGCATCGGCTTGTTCTCCACACCTGTGGGACTGTTTCTATTTTGTTTCGTTTACCGACTTTTTAGGATGCCACATATAAGTGAAATCATATGCTATTGGTCTTTATCTGACTTACTGTGATTGGCATGATACCCATAGGTCCACCCATGTTGTCATAAATGATGAGATTGCATTTTTTGATTGCTGAATGATGTCCCATTCTCTGTGCGTGCGTGTACATACGTATGTATACACACCGCAGCTGCCTTATGGATTCGTCTATCGATGGGCACTTAGGTTGCTCCCATATTTCGGCTTTTACTAGTGATGCTATGAACATAGAGATGCATATGTCTTTTCGAATAAGTGTTTTTATTTTCTGCAGATAACTACCCAGAAGCGGGAAGGCTGGGTCATCGGGTAGTTCTCTTTTTAATTTTTTGTGGAAACTCCAGACCGTTTTCCAGAGCGGCTGCCCCAGTTTGCAGCCCCACCAACAGCGCACGAGGGCTCCCTGTTCCCCACATCCTCACCCACACTTGTGGTTGATTTACCGATGATGCCATCCTGACAGGTGTGAGGTGGTATCTCATTATGGCTTTAATTTGCATTTTCTTCATGATTAGTGACTGGAGCATCTTTTCATATGTCTATTGGCTATCTGTACGTTCTCTTGGGAGAAATGTCTATGCGGGTCTTCTGCCCATTTTTTAATTGGATTATTCAGGTTTCTGCTGTATGTCATATGAGTTATTTATACAGCTTGGTTCTGTATTTGTGGTTCTGTATTAACCCCTTATGGACTGTATCATTGGTGAAAACCTCGTGTTCGATAGGCTGACTTTTCTTTGGTGGGTTTCTTTCGCTGTGAAAAAGCTTTTCGGCTTGATGTTTTTTGTTTGTTTGTTTGTTTCCCTTGCCCGAGGCAACATCTAAAAAAAGATATTCCTAAGAACGGTATCGACGAGTTTACGGCCTATGTTTGCTTCTGTGAGTTTTATAGTTTCGGGTCTAACATTTAAGTCTCTAATGCATGTTGAGTTTGTTTCCGTATGTGATGTAAGAAAGTGGTCCGATTTCATTTTTTTTTTTTTTTTTGCATGTATCTGTCCGGTTTTGCCAACATCACTCACTAAAGACACCGTCCTTTCCCCACGGTATTCCCTTACCTCCCTCATTGATCATATAAGCGGGGATTTATTTCTGGGCTCTCTATTCTATTCTATTCTGATCTGCGTGTCTGTTTTTATTGCATGCTTTTCTGATTATTTTGTCTTTATAACATAGTTCAAAATTAAGGATTGTGATACCTCCCACTTTGTTCTTTCTCAAGATTTCTTCGGCTATTTGGAGTCTTTTGTGGTTCTGCATAAATTTTAGAATTAGTTGTTCTAATTCCGACAAGAACGCCTTTGGTATTTTAGTGGATTGCGTTGAATCTGTATATTACTTTAGGTAGGAGGGATATTTTAACACTATTAATCTTTCCAGTGTATGGGCAAGGTGTAGCCTTCCATTTATTTGTGTCTTCCTCGACTTCTTTCTTCAGTATCTCATAGTTTCAGTTAAATTTATTCCTAGGTAGCTTACACTTTCTGATGCAATTGTAAATGGGGTTGTTTTCTTATTTTTTTCATCTGATTGATTGTTCATTATTGGTGTACAGAAACGCAATGGATTTTTGTACATTGATTTTGTGTCCTGCAAATTTACTGAGGTCATTTCTTAGTTCTAATAGTTTTTTGGTGGAGTCTTTAGGGTTTTCTATCTATAGTAATCATGTCATCTGCAAATAATGAGCATTTTACTTCTTCCTTTCCAATCGGGATGCCTCCTATTTCTCTGTCCTTTCTGGGTGCCCCGGCTTGGACTGACGGCCACTGCAAGGACATTGCAGGCAGGCCAGGGCCCTGGCCTTCGCTAGGGAGGCGGGGGGATGGAAACGGTGGGGCTCACCGCCCCTTCGAACCCCAAAGAATTCTCCCGGTCCTCAACCTTCTCTGCACAGCCTCCGTCTGGTCTGTTACAGAGAAGGTGGCCCGTGCAGAAGCGACCTGCCAGGGGCTCTACCTGCGGGGTAGGTGGGAAGCGTGGGAACCGGCGGAGCATGCGCTCTGGGCGCCTGGCACAGGGCCTGCCTCGAGGTCCGAGGGCCGCACTGAGTCCCATCAGGGGGGCAGGTGCGGAGGGAGGCCACGCCCACCGTCTGCTCCTCCCTGTCCACAGACTGAGGCACCAGGCCACGCGGCCGAAGACCCACGAGCTGTGGCAGGTAGGCCCGAGTCCCCTGCGCCCCGAGCCCCGCACTCTGCGCAGGGCGCTCCGGCTCCGCAGGCCGCGGCCCCACGCCCAGCCTCCCCCGCTGAAGTTCTTTCTGTGTTTGTGGTCGGAGCTGGTCACTTGGCACCGGCTGTCCCCGGGAGTGATTGCTACCTGAGCAGGTGTGGATTTGACTTGCCTGCGGGCGGCGAGGGCAGCGTCACCCGGTGACCCTGTCTGGGGCCACCTGGTCTGAAGCACCACGGCCTGGCACCCCGCTATGCTGAACCCCCCGGGCGGCTCTCCGTGCCAGGGGCTCGGAGCTGTGTCCCCCGCACACGAGTCCCGCATGTCCCTCCGTCCCTGAGCGGAGGCTGTCGCCTCGCACGGGCGACACCCCAACCCGTTACACGCAACGAAGCGTTTGCTGAAGTCTCGTGCGGCGTGAGCGACACGCCAGTGAAAACGCAGCCGAGAGGAGCCAAGAACAGAGCGACACGGCTGTGACGCGGGTTTGCCAACCGAAGCGACCCCGCCGAGCGTGCGGGGCAGCGACCCCACGTGCGTCCGTGTCATTGCGCCCGCCCGCGCGGCCCTCAGCGGATGCCCGTCGTTGGAACCCGGGGTCCCCGATGCTCGCAGCCACCCCCCCCTCCACGTCCTGGGCGCCTCACCCAGCCGCGAAGCCCAGAGCCCGGCCCCAAGCTACGCGCCACCGGCCGCAGAAAACTCTAGAAACGGCCAAAGTGACCCGGGACGTCGCCAAAGTGACCCGGGACGTACTGGCAGCACGCGCGGGGCGGAAACGTGACCGCGGGGACCCCGTTCGTGCTGACGGCCGGCTGGGGGTGCGGTCGCCCCGAGTTGCGCGGCTGGGGAACACCCGGGCACAGGGGGTCGGCAGGCGGGGAGGCCGAGGCACGCGGCAGAGGGCAGGGACCCCCGGCCCGGGGCCTGCGGGGATGCGCTGCGCGGGACTCACCACGTCCATGATCTGCAGGAGGCTCAGGGAGAAGTAGACGGTGAGCGGCTGCGTGTCGTTGGCCACGGGCCTCTCCAGGGGGTTGTAGTTCTTGACCAGC